ATTCTCTAAATTAAAAAATATATATTATTTTGAAGAATCTTGTGTGTGATGTAATAATATTTTCAAGATTTAAGATATATTTGTATTTATGATTCGAGTTATTTTTTCTTATTTACTAAGAAATTTTAAGGTCACTAATACTTGTGCTATTATTTCAAGAATATTACAAGGTACATGGGTCCCAATTAATTATACAGTGGAGCAAGAATTATGAAGCTAGACTAATAAAATATATTTTTGTGCCATTGCATAATAAGAAAACACTCACATTAGCACCTTTAGATTATTAATTTGCATAAGAAGATTTGAAAGCATTGCAATTCAATGTTCAACCTCAAAAGTGAAATAGGAAAATATTATAAAGCAGTAACTCTTCAGTGGATTGCTATCATATCATTTCAATAAACAATTTTTATAATGATAATGTTGTTTCAGGTTGAGACATTAAAGAACAAAAAGAAGAGCAATCTAGAGTTGTTACATCTTGGGATTATGTCAATTATCAAATCCAAGGGAATGAAGAATCAAAATATATCATGTTTGAAGCAAGTTGCCTCGTAAGTTGCCATGTTCGAACACAATGAATTCATATATTTTATCATTCATAAATTATATAATTAATGAACTTTGTATATTCCAAGAATGATTATGCTATATTCCTTATGAAGTATGTGGAGTTTTTAATTTTTAGATTTACTGTATCCTCACACGAGGAGATGAAGCATTTTCAATTAGACATTGCAGGAGCAATTATAGATAACTTAGGATTTTATAAAAAAATTGATTCTTAGTTTGTATACATGAACTTCCAAATTGGTGAACTCTGTAATTATATAAAAAAAATTAAAATTATAAAGAGTTTTGAATTTGTAAAATTTGAAATTGTATAAAAGATTTTTGTTAATATTATTCAAATAAGAATAATTGTATATATGTAAAAAAAAAGTAATTGTCGGTTATTACAAAGTATTTCTGGAGTTTGTATCCCATATGTCAAATTTGGATTAGATCCAATATTAGAGTATTGATTTAAAGGACTATTTTAAATATAATAAAATTTTTAAGAAAGCTTTCAATTTCGACCATATAGACCTTTATAACAAAATTTTTTAATTTAGAGATTTTTTACTATTTTAAAATTTTTAAAATATAAACAATTTAGTGTTTTTCTATTTTCTTTATTTTTTCTCATTTCCACTAAAACATAATAGTCAATCAGAAAAAATAATTTAAATAACTAAGGATTTACTTAGAACTTCTATTATGGATTGGAAACATAAATGGGATAAAAGTATTTCTCTTATTTAATTCACTTACAATAATTATTATTATTTAAGTATTTAGATAATTCTTTATAAAACTTTATATTGGAAAAGGTGTAGAATGCTTATACGTTAGGAAGAGGTCGGTGATAAAAAATTGTTAGCACCAAACAAAGTAAAATAGACTATCAAGAAAATTCAAGCTATAAGAAAGAGATTAAAGACCGCTTAGAATCATTAAAAGAGCTATACTGATAATAAAAGAAAATATATTGAGTTTGGGATTTTATATTCACGAGGGTCTCCCCTTTTAAGGGTATATTATATTTTGAGAAGAAAGAAAAGTTAAGCTCTAGAATTATTAGACATTTTGAGATCATTGAGAGGATTGATTCTATTGCTTATAGGATTATCTTGTCACCATCCTTCTGTTATAGTCATGATATATTTCACGTATCAATGATCAAAAAGTATATACCTAATCTCTCATATATCATTAAGTATAAGTTAATTATAATCAATAAATACTTAACCTATATGAAAGAGCCTACTTAAATTATCGATAAGAAAGAAAATGTCCTAAGAAATAGGATCATTCCTTTTATTAAAGTGATTTGGTAAGATTATTATACTAATGAAACTACTTAGAGCCAAAGAAAGAATGAAAAAAGCTTATCCCTATTTTTTTATTGATTGAGGTATGACAATTTAAAAGACTAAATTTTTATTTAAGGAGAGAGAGTATAATATCCTTTAATTTTGAATTATTTATGATATTCATGATTTTTGTTTGATTATTTTAATAAGAATTTTTTTAATAATTTTTCTAGGAGAATCATAAGAAATATGATAATTCGTTAAAGTGATTTGAAAATACTATTTTATTAATAAAACTACTTGGGAGCTAGAAGAGGAGATGAAGAAAGCTTACTTTATCTTTTTATTGATTGACGTATGACAATTTAAAAAACTAAATTTTCTTCTGGGGGAGGGGAGAATGTAATATCCTTCATTTTTAAATTATTTATGACATCTATAATTTTTGTTTAATTATTTTAATGAGAAGTTTTTAATAATTTTTTATATTAAATAATTTTACATTGAAAGCTTATCGCTAGGTTCGAGACTTAATTATGAATCCTAGAATTTGAATATAATCTATAAAAGGATTCATATTAAGTTAGAAAAAAAGAGAAAAGATGAAGGGCATGTGTCACTAGCTAATCTAAGGATTGTGCTACTTGTGCTTGTTCTATTGATGACACATATATTTTCTATACTTCCTTGACGTATGTTTGTCATTTTGTTATCTTTATGTTAGCTAAATTTAAGTAATTAAAGGAGAACAATAAAAAAAAAACTTATCTGAGAATCTTACTGTAACCTATATTAGATTAGAGAAGAAAAGGGAAGATGAATTGAAAGAGAAGAAAAAGAGGTGTTGCTTTGGCTTGAGGTTTTGAACTAATTTATCACTCTTGGGATTAAATTATTTTTAGACAAGTATTCTAACCCATCCTATATAGAATTCTATCTTTGATTTCTTCTTGTTTACGAGCAATTTGTAGAGTTTTATTCCTTCTAATAACATCAATATTATTTGAGCCACAAATTTGATAATCTAAAATTTTTTAGAATTATAAGCTATCTATCTTGTTTTAACTATAACAATTTTTTATAAATTTTTTTTTTAGTAAAACTTATTTTTTTAGAAACTAGACTCTTATATCTTTCTTTCAATACTTTGCTTAAAAGATTTAAAATACAAATAATAACCTAAATGTTAGTTTCTTTTAATCATTTAGATTTTACAAAATAGAGTGCATATTTTCTAACATTGATGTTAAACTTCAGAAGTTTGCGAGACGGCTCGTTAAAAGCTCCAACAAGCATCCACCCAATTCAAGCAGCATGAGGCATTTGAGAGACTGACGCAGTAAGGATGGTCTTTTCCTTCATCTGGAGGATCCGTAGGAATCAACAAGGATCAACACAACTCAGCCAACCCCACACCAGAGTCAGAGTCATTGGTGAGTTGAAGCAACATGACAGATCAATGTTCGACTACTCAAAAACAACAACGGAGAGCAACTGAGAGTCATGAGGCGCATTACAACTGGAGCAGAAGATTGAAGACTTAACAAAGGCGAGGAGTTGCAGTGTTCACAAAGGCTTCGACAAGGACGTCGAAGGAATAGGTGGGGGAGAATGTCACGGACAAACTTCGAAATAGGATGTTTGATATAATGCTTATGTATGTCCGTGTTTTTTGGTATGTTCATGCTTTGCACAACATATTGAGGGACGACCGAAGGCTTAATAGTCTCATTTTAGTTGGGTTTGGTGGCCGCTTTAGACTTGTAAATAAAGATTGTGTCATGTGAACACCTGTGAGAGATTTTCGATCTGTAGTGGATCATTTTGACCATTTGTTATGCAACTGTTCAGAGCTTGTAAAGTCTGTTTGTAATTTGCATTGTCTATGAAGTGTTTTCGGAAATGTTTGCTTGTGGATCCCGAATGAAGTGTTTTCTCTAACTCGTTCTCTCTTTTGTGAATCTTAAGGGACATGAGAGGCTTCAGGGAAGCTGACCTTTACGAACGGACATGCAAAGGTGTCACACAACTTAGGCAAAATCAGCTTAAGTCCTCTTTGTGGAGCATAGTATAAAGTTTGCTGTGGACTTTCGTCGAGCAGGTACGGCGCAACTTACCTCGTGCCGTTCCCGCGTGTTGCGTTTCCACTGGGCTTGCGCGGTCATCAGCACCAACAGAGGAAGATATCTCAAGGGCCCACAAGTTCGATCGATAGAGCGAAAGGGAGAGCTGGAAAGATGAGGCTTTTGACCCACAACATTCTCTCCTGCAACATCAAGGGCGTCGCCAACGACTTCCCCCTCCGCCGGGAGGCTGAGAAGCGGGTCGAGAAGGAGGTGGAGCTCAACGCCGATTTCCTCCGTCACATCTTCCCCAAGATCGAATAAAAGGCCCTCGCTGGCGCCGTCGGCTACGGCGAGCTACCCGAGGAGGCCGACGTCGCGATGCTGGGCTCCGAGGACTTCCTCCACCGCTTCCACCATGCGCTGCTCGAGATCGACGTCGAGGAGGGTGCCCTCGTCTGCCCCGAGACCGGCCGCGGGTTCCCCGTCAATAAGGGCATTCCCAACATGCTCCTCCACGAAGACGAGGTCTGATTCGAGGGGACCGTTTCGGATCGCCCTTTTCCTTTTTCTTCGGCTTTAGGATTAAGGTTTTTGTGTCGCTGGGAAATGCCCTGATGTATCTGTACAACTCTGGTCTCTTGTATCGCCATCTGCAACTATAAGAAGCGTAATTGGTGAACTGTTGTTTGGTTTTTCCCTGAACGCGTTGGACCAGTCCGCGTTCTCAGGTGGCACCGTCTGTTTGCTGCCATCCTGAAAAAGTGCGGGTCCCACTATGTTTGTCCAATCAGCTCGAGAGTAAAAACATTGGGAGGAACGTAGGATATGGGAAAACTAGGGTTCATCTTCGAACGGTAACCACTTACAATAGGATGGCAAATTTTCGTAATTTCGTCTACCTACGGTGCCGTTTTTGACTATCTACTTCCACGGGCAGTCAACGACCGGCCCCGTCTCTGGTTGCAAGACAAGCGGAATTATGCGCCTAATTAATTTAAATTATTATTTTTCTTCTCCGAACCAAAACAGTCGAGTAAAAAATAATAATTGTAAAGACGTCTCTCTGTCTCTCTCTCTCCCTCCTTTTTGAAGTGGCATTAATTCCTTCTCACTCCGATTTTTGCCTCGGTTGCTTCGCGTTCTTCGAACACGGCAGCTAGCGAGCGCGTGAAGGGAGATGTCGAACTTCACGGCGGCTGCAGAGGGGGGAGGAACGGTGGCGGCGAGATCCTCGCTGTGGGAGTCCATCCGGAGATGTGGAATCTTGGGGATGGGGATCGACGAGGAGGAGCTGAGGCGTAAGATCTTGATACCGGCGTACATCCGGACGGCGATGTCGTCGGCCATCCGCAACCGGGACGCGGGCGCTAGCGCCGAGGCGGCGGTGAGAGCCGGGGAGGAGGCGGACGAGGTGCCGGAGGCGCCGATAGTGGTGCTCGTGAACTCCCGCAGCGGCGGCCGCCATGGCCCCCAGCTTACGGCCCGGCTTCAGCAGCTCATCAGCGTAGAACAGGTCAACGAACAAGTCCATTTCCTCTCTCTTCTTGCGTTTTCTACTGCATTTTGCGAAATCTCCTTTGGGGTTCCTGAGGTCGAAGATCGAGGCTGGCTTACAGTGGCTTTTAGTCTTTGAGTACACTTTTGGAGTTTCTGGAGTGAATCTTTAGATCTTTAGTTCGTGATAAGCTTGCATTTCTCGATCGATCTTTATGCATTATTTTGAGGATTCGGAGTTATTTTATTCTTGGTGACTTAAGAGTTTGGGTTCGCTTTGCTGCTTTGCTTTTAGAGAAGGTTATTTACTAATATGTATGTAGCACGGTAAACCATCTGGGCAAGCAAAAGTTTTGGTCTCTTAGGTTCCGAAACAGTGATAATAAAAGCTAAAAATGGCAAAAATTAGACACATGGTTATCAGGTAGACATCTTTGTGTTGAACTTCTTTGATCTTTGAATTATGGAGCATTAAATGTTGATTCAGTGCTATTGTTACTAGCAAGATTCTGAATTTTTGGTTGTCCTAAGATTGTTATTGCATACATTGTGGACTCAAATTTGAGAGGATTTCTTGACTTTGGATCTTTTTGGTGCCTGCACCTTCTTGATGATCAGCCTGCCGTGTGATATATTTCTTTCCTTTTGCCTTTTATTCTTTATTTTTCTATGGGAATTCCATATGGTTTTCTTCTTTTGACCAACAATTTATTGGAAAAAAGGAGAAACAAAAGGACATCAAACTCCATACACATTTGGATAGGGCGATCAGCAATGAATTCTGATGGCCTTTAAGAGTGTCATGTACTTATTTTGTTTTGTTCATTAATTATATATTGAACCAAGGTAGATTGTGCTGGAACTTGCTGTCCAGAATTTTCAAGTTCATTAAAATTTATGATTCTGTACTTCAATTGCGGATGTGATACAATTCAAGAAAACCCAATCTTCCAACAGCTTCCTATGTGGTTATTGTTTAGATATGTACTGATTTGCTATGCTACTAGTGTTGTTTTGTCAATTTCTAGTAGCTAATTAAAACCCTATAGTTGATATGAGTTCATGTGATAAAATTTTCATGTTACCATTGTGGAAACTGTAGATGGAACATTATTGCAGTAAGAATTTTTGGACAGGCTGAGTTCTGCTAGAGAAGTAGGATTCTAGTATGTTCAAGTCAATGCAATGTGATCCACATGGACTCCAATGATGCTGTTTATTGATAATTATAATTAAAAATTTTCTCTGGAATCATATCTATGTGTGCAAAATTGGCACGTTACTAATTATTTATCTTATTTAATCCAGGTATTTGATCTTTCAGATACCCAGCCTCCTCATTTTGTTCAGTATGGTTTGACTTGCTTAGAAAACTTGGGTGACAATGGCGACAATCTTGCAAGGGTCATTCGCGAAAACTTAAGAGTTATGGTATATTTTCTTGAACTGATTGCTTGCTGTGTCTGTTCATGCATGCTTGAACTTCTTACAATCATGGATCATAGTGAAGTATTTCCTTTTTTATCCGATGTTTTAGTTAGAAATATTCATGTGTGTGAGAAAAAAGAGAGATTGACTAAGAGAATAATCCCATATCACTAAGAAAACTTGAAAAGTTTAGGTTGGTTTGACACCCAGCCTAGAAGCTTAAGCTTTTAGGTTGAATTGGTGTCCAATCCAATATATGTTAACTTTGATCAGTTAGAATCAGAATTATCATTATTTGATTTTCAACATGGTATCAGAGCCAAGTAGATAAAATTTGATCTAAATGAGTTTAAAAAATTGAGTTAAGATGGGTTTGGTAGCCAAGGCCAAGATGTGGTGGTTCAACCCATGAGTTTGACTGAATGTAGATGAGTCATACCATGACAAGTGAATGCGAATATGTGAACCGTCCTATAGTGTCAGAAAAGATGCTTACTAAGTTTGAACCCTTAACGAATAAAGACAAGACAATCAACCCACACATGAATAAGAGTATTGAAAATATTCAGTTGTGCATGCTGAAGAGAGATAAAAAATAGTCCCGCATCATCACCAACAATTGATAGGTTCAAATTACATATACTGGGTTTGGCCCACAACCTAGAAGCTTAAGTTTTAGTTTGAATTGGTGTCCAATCTAATATATGTTAACCTTGATCAGTTTGAAATTATCATCATTCGATTTCCAACAGTTTTGATACTGTGCTAGTCAGTTATTCACTTCTCTTCAGTTTTTTTTTCCAGTTTTATTCCATTGGGCAGTATATTTTTATGGGATGCATGATTAATTATTTTCTTTTGCAGGTTGCTGGAGGTGATGGTACGGTAGGTTGGATATTGGGAAGCCTGGGAGAACTTTTTGTGCAGAAAAGAGAGCCAGTTCCTCCAACTGGCATTATTCCACTTGGAACGGGGAATGATCTCTCAAGGAGTTTTGGTTGGGTAAAGAGCTGCATTTAACTGTCAGTTGACAATTGCAGATTCATTGAGATAGCACCAGTTTATCTGGTTACCCAAATGCAGGGTGGTTTGTTTCCTTTTGCATGGAAGTCAGCAGTGAAACAATCTCTTCTTAAGGCAGTCTCGAATCCTGTTCAACACCTTGATAGGTGAGCATAATCACCATTATGTCATTGTTAATTTAACCGATCTCCATTCATTCTTAAGCTTATCATTCAATAACGGTGATACATCTTTATCTTAGAATTTCTCTACTTTTGAATTCAAAGATAAGGGAAGATGTGTCACAGCTATGTTAACTAAAAATTTATAATATATGCAGTTGGCATGTTACAATCATAATGCAAGAAACAGAACGACTAGAACTTCCATTTTCTCTTAAGCATATGGAGGAGTATGATCTTACTCAGGTGTGATGTTGAATCTGTTCTTGTTGCTGTTATATATTTTTCTAGTTTTGGTGTTTCTTTAGTTAATTTATACTGTACGATTCTGTTGATACATGCTAATTATTACTCTCCTGCAAAAGAACTGCATGTTATTCTTATGTTGCTGAAATCTGGGCTTTTAATATCGAATGATACCACCTGTACCGGGCGATATGTACTGGTCCGCCAGTAAACCAGTACGTGGACCACCTGCTACCGGGCGATACCATCGATTGGGGCTGTTTCTACCCCATTACCATGCGAAATCGATCGGTAACAGCCAATTTCGACATCGCCATCTTGTCACGGATTTAGCTGGAATTGCCTAAGTCGTGAGATACCCTTACGGCAAAGTCATGAACTTAGCTGAAATTGCCTAAGCCGTGAAGCACCCTTACGCCAACACCTCGGACTTAGCTAGGATTACCTAAGTCCTAAGGTGCCCTTGCAACATATGCGTCCGCAAAGGTTCAGCCTAGTTGCAATCTCGTACAGGTCCTGAAGGACCTGTAAAACAAAAAGTTGAATAGATTGAAAACGAGCGACGGACAAGTCCCGGCGTCTTGCGGAGAGGGAAGCTTTACAAGCAATTTAGCAAGTACCTTGAGTGCAAGAGAGAAAAAAGAGGAAGGAGAAAACAAGGACCTTAGAAGGTAGAACGAATAGTTGCAAGTCCACAAACAACTGCTCACCAGGTGTCGGGCGCGAAGACAAGTTTCCGTCAAGTTAACATGCGAACTTGTGAAGATTTTTCAACGCCCAACAATATACCGAAGCCCCATCCACCCCTGTGCCACCCGGAGGGTTCTAGGGTACTGAGATGCTGACGTTTCGCGTGCAGTTGCGGCTTGCAGAAAATAAGCTGTGGCACGTGAAAACAGGGCTGTTTTTTGTAGTTCGGCCTGGCGCGGCGAGCGGTCGCACTGCAGCGCTGCAACCTATTCAAACATGCATTTTTTACAACAAAAACACACAAAACTAAGGCAAAACATACTGCCATGTCTCGGTACAAGCATGCAAAAGTGACGAACGGTTCGTTGAACGAAATTGTTGCGGGTGCGCGGTGACCGTTCATGACAGTCTCCCCCACTTAAACTGTCGACGCCCTCGTCGACACTTGTTGGTAGTTATTGATGATTGCTTCTTCATGTCGTAGGGCGCCTTTAGGTTCCCAACTGGCTTCGTTTCGGGGAAGCTTTCGCCACTTCACTAAGTACTCCTTTTGTTCAACACCATTGGGTAGCTTTATCTTACGATCCACTAAAATGGTTTCAACTCGCTTTTCGTAGGAGGCTATGGTGGGGGGTGACCGAGTTGGAACACTTCGGGAAGCATCTTGCGGATCTGAGTGGTAGGCTTTCAAGTTGTTGGCGTGGAAAACATTGTGAATTTTGAGCCACGCTGGCAGCTGCTACTTGTAGGAGACGTTGCCTACCCTACTGATAATTGGGAAAGGCCCGTCATACTTACGCACCAATCTTTTGTGTACTTTGTTCCTAAAGAATTGGAGTGATGCTAGTTGGAACTTTACTAACACCAAATCGTCGACTTTGAACTCCTATGACCGCCTTCCCAAGTCTGCCCACTTCTTCATCTTTTTGGCCGCCTTCTCCAAGTAAGCCCATGCAATATCTATATTTCGGTGTCATTCTTTTGTAAAGTGATATGCTGACGGACTACTCCCAGTATATCCAATAGCCAAGGTATGAGGAGTTGATAGTTGTTGTCCTATAATGATCTCGAAGGGGCTCTTGTTGGATGCAGAGCTCCGTTGCAAGTTGTAAGAGAATTGGGCTATGTCCAACAGTTTCACTAAATCTCGTTGGTTGTCACTCACGTAGTGCCAAAGATATTGCTCAAGGAGCGAGTTTATCCTTTCAGTTTAGCCATCCGTTTAGGGGTGGAAGCTTGTGGAGAAGTATAACCTAGACCCCAACAATTTGAATAGCTCAGTCCAGAATCGTCACAGGAATCGAGCGTCTCGATCACTGATGATATTGTGCGAGACTTTCCAATACTTCACCACATTCTTCATCATCGGCTTGGCCACCTCCTCTACTGAACAGTGTAGGGGTGTAGCAATGAAAGTTGTATACTTTAAAAATCGATCGACCACCACGAGTATCGATCCGAGTCCCCCTACTGCCGGCAAGCTTGATATGAAGTCCAAGGAAATACTCTCCCATGGCCTTTCTGGTACGGGCAACGACTCCAAAAGTGCCACCGGCTTCCGCTGCTCCACCTTATCTTGTTGGCAAGTGAGGCACGTTCGAACATATTCCTCCACATCAGTCCCCATCTTTGGCCAGTAGAAGGCTCTCTCTACGAGAGCCAAGGTGCTGTGAATACCCGGATGTCCAGCCCAAAGGGAATCGTGACACTCTCTTAAGAGTTTACGCTTCAAATTGTCCACTCGAGGAAATAAACCCTATTGCCTCTTGTGTAAATGAGTCCCTCCTGGACCTAAAATCGTCGTGCCTTACCTTCTTTGATAAGTTACATCAGGGTTACTACTTGAGGATCATTGTACAGTCCACCCCTGATCCTGGGAAGGAAAGTGGAGTGCAACTGACTTGTTTGGCCTCTGCCTTCCAACTGTATGGCATTCATTTTCACTTTCCGGCTCAATGCATCGGCTACGACATTTGCTTTTCCGGGCTTGTACTCCATTGCCATATCAAACTCAGCCAGAAAGTCCTGCCATCATGCTTGCTTTGGGGAGAGTTTTTTTTAGTTTGGAAATAACTTAAAGCGATGTTGTCTGTCCTCAGCACAAATCGCGATCCAAGAAGGTAGTGCTGCCAAACTCGCAGACGGTGGACCACCGCTGTTACCTCTTTCTCGTGCACCGGATACCGCTGCTCGGTCTCGTTGAGCTTGTGGCTCTCGTAGGCTACCGGATGACCCTCCTGCATGAGTACTCCCCCAATAGCGAAGTCTGAAACATCTGTATAAACTTCAAAGGGCTCCTCGTAGTCCGGCAATTTGAGCACCGGTTCTTCCAACACAGCAGCTTTTAAATCTTGGAATGTCGCTTTACATTTATCAGACCATCTCCAAGGCTGCTCCTTCTTCAGCAACTCCGTCAGTGGAGTTGCACGCTTCGAATACCCTGTTATGAAGCGCCGATGGTAGTTGACGGAACCAAGGAAGGATCTCAGCTCTGGCACCATCTTTGGAGTTCGCCATTCCGTAACAGCTTGCACCTTTAATTTGTCCATCTGAATGGAGTCATCACTGATTCGATGCCCCAAGAATAAGATCTTCGTTTGAGCCAAGTAGCACTTCTCCCTTTTCACGATTAGAGTGTTCTCCTTGAGAACCTTGAAAATTGTCCAAAGGTGCTCAACATGCTCCTCAAGCGTTTGACTGTAGACGACGATATCATCCAAGTAGACAACCACAAACTTATCCAAATACTCTTTGAATAGCTGGTTCATAAGAGTGCAGAACTTGGCCGGAGCGTTGGTTAAGCCGAAAGGCATCACCAAGAACTCAAACACTCCATACCTAGTCACGTAGGTAGTCTTCGTTTTGTCACCTTCAGCAATGCGCACCTACCAGTATCCCGACCAAAGGTTGAGTTTGGAGAAATACTTTGTTTTGCCCAATTAGTCGAACAAGTCTGCGATGAGCGGAATGGGATACTTGTTCTTAACCGTCACTTTGTTGAGGGCTCGATAATTGACGCATAGTCAGAGGCTCCCATCTTTTTTTTTTTTTTTAAAGAGAACGAGAACTAGAGCTCCGAAAGGTGCTTTGGAACTATGGATGAGACCACCGCTTAGCAGTTCACCTAACTGCTTTCTGAGCTCTGCCAACTCTAGAGGGGGCATGCTGTATGGTGGTCTCGCTGGAGGCTTCACTCCTGGCTCCAGCTCGATATGATGATCAACGCCTTTGTATGGCGACAGAGTCTTCGGCAACTCGGATGTCATAACGTCTGTGAACTCCTTCAGAACATTAGCCATCCTAGCAGATCCATGAATGGCCTCCTCGTCGAGTGGCTCTAGCTTTATAGTAGCCACGAATGTTAATTCGTCTTTCCGTACCCCTTTCTTCAGTTGGAATGCTGATATCTGTTGGGGTTCCCTGGTTCCTCTTCGAGAGACGGGAACCACATAGGGGTCGTCACCTCCCATCATACATAGGGAGTTTAGGAATGACATTGGCACCAACTTTGCCTCGTACATGAACTCTATTCCAAGAATTACTTGGAAGTCGTCCAGTGGCACCGCCATCATGTTTGTGCTCCCGCTCCATGTTCCGATCTTGATGGGAACTCCCTTTGCCAACCCGGAGATTTGCTTGGCCTCCGAGTTCACCGCCTTTATTCGACTTGGGTTTTTCTCAAAGATCAGCCCAATTCGCTTTGCTTCTCGGTCGGCTATAAAGTTGTGAGTAGCACCCGTGTCCACCATCGCACGAGTTGTTTGGCCATTGAGCTTAATGTCTACGTATATCAGCTCGCTGCTTCCTGCTTTTTATGGCATTGTCTTCATGTTCTCCCTCACTTGACTCCGCATAGCGTTCAACAAACGTATTGCTCCCATCCGGGGTCCTTGCGACTCCTCATCGTCGCTGTTGGATTTTGAACTACTCGAACTAAGAGCGACAGCCTTACCCTTGTCCGATTTGGGGGGATGGATATAAGCTGTTAAAGCATTGAGTGCTTGCTTCTGTGGGCACTCTCTCACCATGTGCGGCCCTCCGCACAAGAAGCATCCGCCAGGTTTTGGGGCCTTGCCTTTTGAGCTTGGCCCTTTGTGGGAACTCTTCTTCCTTTGTTCGCCCCTAGGCTCCTTCCATCGAGAATATTTTGGGGGGTGATTTCCTGAAGATTGTTTCCTTTTTCCCGGGTCCTCATAGGTAACAAAGTCGGTGAGCCTTTCTGCGGTAGCAATTGCCCCGATCACATCGGTGACATTCCTTCGATGCAGTTCTTGTTGAGCCCAAGGCTTACCATCGAGGAAGCTGAACAGCTTATCCTTCTCGGACATGTCCTGTATGTCCAGCATTAGTGCAGAAAATTGCTTCACGTAGTCTCAAATGGAAGTACTTTGGTGGAGTTGTTTTAGTTTCCTCATTGCGACGAACTCTGTGTTCTCAGGTAGAAATTGAGTTCTCAACTCCTGCTTTAAGTCCTTCCATGTGTCCACCCGATACGGACCTTGTTAGATCTCCTCCCAACGGGTTCGCCACCAAAGTTTTGCATCCCCATTCAAATACATGGTAGCTATCGAAACTTTGGTTTCTTCATAATCGGGCCTTGTAGCTTGAAAATATTGTTCCATGTCGAACAGAAAATTCTCGAGCTCTCTAGCATCTCTGGCACCTCCATAACAATGTGGCTCGGGTGCCCTCAAGTTTTGTGGCGGTGCAACGTGGGTGTTGCTTCCTCCCGCATTCAGTGCCCTAGTGAGCATGGTCACCCTGGAAGTGAGTTCTGCCACGACTTCATACAGATGTTGCACGGAGTCTTTGGTATCGTCTGACAGTCAATCGACTAAGGCCTCAACCTTGTCGATCCGAGATTTAGCTTCTTCTTGCGAGCTCTCTACCCCGAGAAGCCTTCGTTGGCCATGGTAGAGTTCCTCCAAGCTCACTTCAAGAACATCCAAGCGGGTTTCCGCCGCTGTGAGTCTCTCCTTATGACTCTTTTTCCCGGTTGGCGCTCGAGATTGTGCCTCCTCCGCTCGTGGAGAGTAGCCAACTTCTCGCTCATCATGTTCGCTACTACGGTCCTCCAACGCGGCTCCACCAATATGAGAGCGAGTTTGCACTTGCAGACTACCTGCGACTGCTTGGGGCAATGGTCTGGCTTGCCCCACCTTGCTCGATTCGCCACAATGCTTGGATATGGCGAGATTACGAAGTTTCTTCGCTGCTTACTTGAATTGCTTGCCTGCTCTGATATCACAATGTCACGGACTTAGCTGGAATTGCCTAAGTCATGAGGCACCCTTGCGGCAAAGTCATGAACTTAGCTGAAGTTGCCTAAGTCGTGAAGCACCGTTGCGCCAACACCTCGGACTTAGCTAGGATTACCTAAGTCCGCAAAGGTTCAGCCTAGTTGCAACCTCGTACAGGTCCCGAAGGACCTGTAAAATAGAAAGTTTATTAGATTGAAAATGAGCGACGGACAAGTCTCGACGTCTCGCAGAGAGAGAAGCTTTACAAGCAATTCAGCAAGCACCTTGGTGCAAGAGAGAAAACAGAGGAACGAGAAAACAAGGAATTTAGAAAATAGAACGAATAGTTGCAAGTCCATAAACAACTGCTCATCGGGTGCCGGGCGTGAAGGAAAATTCCCGTCAAGTTAACGTGCGAACTTTTGAAGATTTTTCAATGCTCGATAATATACCGAAGCCCCATCTAGCCCTGTGCCACCCGGGGGGTTCCAGGGTGCTGAGATGGCTGACGTTTTGCGTGCAGCTATAGCTTACAGAATACAAGTCGTGGCATGCGAAAACGGGGCTGTTTTGGGCAGTTTGGCCCCGCGCGGTGAGCGGTCGCACTGCAGTGCTGCAACCTGTTCGAACATGCATTTTTACAAGCAAAAACATACAAAACTAAGGCAAAACTTGCTGCCATGTCTAGGTACAAGCATGCAAAAGCGACGAATGGTTCGTTGAACGAAGTTGTTGCGGGTGTGCGACGATCGTTCGTGACAATCTGCCACCATGCGATATTAGCCAAGGGAGAAGAAAGAAGAGGGAGAAAAAAAGGGAGAACCTGGAGATCCGGCGTTGCTCTCCCTCGACGATCTTGATCCATCTCTGCCCTCTCTCGCCGGACACCGCATATGAGATGTCGCCTCCTCATCATCTGAGGCGATGAGGCACCAGCGTCGTCAACGACTTCTCCTCATCCGTGCGGGGAGAAGAAGCCTCGACGATGTCGTCAAGGCTTCACGAGGAGAAAAAACGAGGTGACATCATCGAGGAGCTTCTTCCTATGCGAGGAGAAGAAACAAGGCGACGTTGCCCTTTTTACTTTTTAACTTTTTTATTTTACATATATATATACACCGAACGGTATGCCAAAGCATACCGCTCGATATACTCGTACCGTACCATACCGAATTGGGCTCGATACTCCGGTATGGTACGAAATTGCGAACCTTGGATGAAACACTAACTCTATATAATAGTTAACATGAATTCTGGATTCCAGTGCTTCTTTACCACACTTCAAATGTTATGATTAAACATGAAATACATTTTTGCAATATTCTTCCAATTATCCAGGTTAATATCTAGATATACTTGATTCTTTCTTTCTTGTTGTTGAGATTATTTGCTTTATTTATTTCTTTTTTTGTATGATTTGAGTGGTTTTGACCTGCTGTTCATAGTTAAAGCTAACAGACTGAATTCAATTTTTTAACTTGTTTAAGCTATATATTGTAATATGTTGGAAAAATCAATGTTGCTGCAGGATGTGGACATACAAAGAGAATTGCCTGAAAACATTTCTTGCTCTGAAGGAGTATTTTACAATTACTTTAGCATTGGTGAGCTCTGTGGCCTACAACAATTTTGTTTCTGAAACTCATTGCTTCATGAACACTATTATGTTAGTCATTGGTATTGTTATTATCTCAGAGCTGAATTTAACAATCAAGTCTATGCATTCTTCATTTTAGCTCCATAAGAGATGTCAGGAACAAGTGTTACATGATCTTAATTTTTTGCCGAAATATGGTTTGTTTTTTTTACTTCTAGGTTTTAGGACTGAATAGTAGTTCAAACAAGATGGAAACAGATAATCCAAAAGAATGATGTTGAAATATATTTTTTCTAGTCATCTTCTTTCATGGTAATATTTTCCTCCAGTTGTGTTTCTGCACCATTGGGTGCTTGCAGATACTTACTCTTTTCATTTCTTTTGGAATATAGGAATGGATGCTCAAGTTGCTTATGGATTCCACCATCTACGCAACAAAAAACCATATCTTGCACAGGGTCCCATGTCAAATAAAGTATGCTTTCGATTTTTTTTCTTTATTGTTCACTATCTGCAGTCTAGCATGAATCTGATATTTCGTTTTCCTTTTCCTGTATTTCTTAGTGCAAGTTGCACCTGCAGTCTTTAGTTTGCAAGTTGCACAAAAAAATTTATCCAGCACTAGGTACAACACCTTGCAGAGGGACTAGGTTCTTCTGTTTCATATATTTGCTTTTCCTTGTTCCTGCATTCCTTAGTTTGCAAGCGCGTATGAACTTCTACCCAAGCTGAATATATCTACTCTTCATAGTTCCTGCATTCCTTAGTTTTGGATGCAGAATAATAGGTGCAAGGTCACGACTCAATTTGATGGGATAACTATCTCATTAACTTGTTGAGCTTATACTACTAACCCAAAAATTTAAGTGCATCTTCTATCTCTTATAGATTCATCCATATTATTTTCTGCTTCCGATATAGGATTAAACTGGAGCATTACATTCAACCCCTTCTTATAGGGGGGACTAGGTTCTTCTATTTCATCAATATATAATTCAGTTCCCTGGTGTTTAATTGATTTTTATTTAAAGTATTAAATGTCTATTTTAATTGTCTATATTATGTTATGCATTTTAGCCATTCCTCATGTCAAGCTTTGAAAGTGCTCTTCAAATTTTTTAAGCATCTGGTCTTATGTTTTGTCAGATGCAGTCTCATTTATCATTTGAACTTCTTGTTTTTCAGTTGATTTATGCTGGACTTGGCTGCACACAAGGGTGGTTCTTTACACCGTGTGTGAAATCTCCAGAACTAAGGTCATACCCATGTTATGCCTGTGGATTATAATTGCTCACTTTATTGAATTTCCATTTTCAGTTCTGGGAAAAGTATTTCAATTTACACAATTTAATCATCATATAATTCACATTATGAAGCTAAAGGTTTCATGGTGCAACTAGAAAACACTTGGGTTTGTAGAACAGAGAAGCCAAATTGAGATCAAGTTTCAACTGAATACCTGAACCAAAAATTATCTTTGGAAAATCTTGCCCTCCACGAACCAATTCAGAGCCCTCATCCCATAATAGTAACAGCATCTATGATTGAATTTCTACTGAATTAAAGAACCATCGCTTTACTATATTACATTGATGCCGTAACTAAATTTATAATAGAAGAGACTTTCAGGAAGCATCATCAGTGTCTCTCTGCAGCTTAAAGCTTCACTATTCTGAGTTACTACAAATTCCTCTATCCTCATAACTAATATTTTTCTTTTCTGAACTTGCTTAAATTTTCAATTTAGTTTGGACCAAACCATATCATTGTCCTTCTATGTGATTGCATTACACAGTTAGATTAATGTCCATAAAAGTGAATATTCTTCTTCGATGTCTTAATTCCATTGTGCTAATATTAATGACATTGTCATGGTTGTTACACATATACGCATCATACAATTATTAGATAGGTAGATTCAGAAAAACTTTGCTCAACACAACAGGATAACAGTATCTTTAAGTGAGCAACATATTGGTGTTTATTTAGAGGACAGGATATTATAAAACATGCTGAGGTGCTTAGCTTAGAGATGATGGGTGAGTTCAGGCAGTTCATGTTTTTGATTTTCTTATCAATACAGTTTTTCCGACTTTTGTTTCACTTTTCCTTTCTCTTAAAAATTTTTATTTTGGTATGTAGCCTTTGATCTCATTATTAATGGACAATGATCTCCCCTTTTGCTTGATATGTTTGCCAATTGTTGTCTACACAGAGAAGTTAAGAAAAATGTTATGTTTATTGATCTTGGAATCCAAATGCAGGGGACTCAAAAACATTTTAGCTCTTTATATTAGAAACGACAATAGCAAACAGTGGGAGAAGATTCAAATTCCTTCAAGGTCAGTTTACTTTTATTTTTTTTGTTGTCTAGGTAATCTACTGTGTGACAATATTCAGGAGATGCATGTTTTATCCGTCCTGATACTAATTTGTTAAGTGTTAATTCACTGTCGTTGCAATTGTTCCATTTCCGTTTTGTCTTGCTTTGGACTTGTTTCCTCTTTTCATGATTGTTCAATATAGTTATGTCATTTGCAAAATGGGAGGTTTCAGAAATATGTCAAGCAGTAGTCATATATTATAACAATTAGCATATAAGCAGACCCTACCTTTGGCTGATAAATATCTTTTATTAAATATTCAACATAACCTTGAAAGCAATAACAGAAGCAAGAATCTAATTAATAAGAATAGAAGCAGCTCAATGAGACATTAGCATGAAGCGCTATAATCAATTATCTTATATTTTGAGAAAAAAGCCCTAAAGAGAAGAGATACGAGACTGGTAATAGCTTTCAAGTTGATGTTCACAATCTAATATTGTTAAAAATTTTTTAAAGAGTCAAACTTAGTTAAATGATTGGAGTATGACTGCTTAGGACTGAAATCTCTGCACTCTTTCTTAATTATGAGATCAAACATCCATGTGAACCCTTGTGTAAAAAGAGGGCAGATCTGATGGCATCAAATGCCCAATGACCTAATGTATGTTCTAAAGTACTTCCCTTCTACCAGTTCTTTCATAATTCAAGGGTATTTTCTCTAACCTCAGTGGTCAGATAACCATAAAATTAGTGGTGTTGTTTGACCTTTTGTTCTTCATCTTCTTTGAAGGTAATAGAAAGGTCTACATTGGAGCTATTGTTATCTAGCATGGAATTTAGTAAGTTTTAGGTATCCATCAGCCAGAAGATTAGGATTGACTCAAACTAGATATCCACCTTTACTTACTGAAAGGAGAGGTGGTCCATTGCATAGGGTCAATCATTGGGATTTTTTATTTTGTAGCTATCTCTCCCAAGACAAATTATTTCATCCTTGCCATTCACTGGCCTGATAATTGAGAGATGTGTACAATCATCAAGGAGACGATGGCAAAGGAAGGTCAAGAAGACATCATTGAGATGACATTTCTGATGAGGAATCTGATGTGTGTCATCACATTAGATACAACATGGTGGAATGGAGCCAATTGTTGCTATTCATTAATTTGGGGGGGTTGTTAGCAGCAGCGAGGTAGGTGACAGGGTTTCGTTATTGCTTGCACAACTCGATTGAATTGGGTTCCTTTCGTTGGTGAGCCCATGTGTTAATCATCAAAGAAGTAATCAACTTCTCTAATATAATGGTCGACATTGCCCACCCTTTGTCCTTTTACAAAAATAATAAAAAGAAAAGCATGTGGATTTGTGTTTAGAGTACAGATTTTCAGTTTAGGTGATACTACCAACACCTCTTCTCTTATTCTCTCATGCTGTGGTCCTATGGTACCTCTCTCTCTCTCTCTCTCTCTCTCTCTCTCTCTCTCTCTTTCTTTCTTTCTTTCTACTTTTTCAATCACCTTCGCCCCTTTTCCCTTTTCCTTTCTTTTGATCCCTCAACTTCTATCTTCCTCCAACACCTTGAAAAGAGTTATTTCTTTTGTCTGTCATTTAGCAGTGCATTGACACTTGCTGACAAGTTAAATGCAGTTGAAAAATGAAGGGGGGAAAGAAGAGATAAGGAAAATGGCAAGGAATAATATGGAGATGTGGGAGGTAATAAATGATGATGAAGAGAAGGTAATATGGCAGAGAGGCAATTGGGGAAAGGCTAGAATTTCAAATCTAATTTTGTCAAGAACACTTCTGATTTTTTTCCATGGATGTTTCATCTATTTTATAATGGACTGCTTAGTCATTTGATTGCTCCACTATCCTTGGAAGCTTGGGCTTTTCTTTCTGGACTTGTCACCTCCATCATTGGGTAGGATTTCTAGTGGTACTCATATTTTTCTTTATCTGCCTTCCCCTATTTTTCTAGTGAGAAAAAAAAACATGGAAGAATACCGTGATATAATGTTATTTATCTCCTTAGGACATGGAAAACTTTCTTATTCTTCAAGTATGGAATTGATTTACAAGATGTTCTTTGGCTGCAGTGTTAGATCCATTGTTATTCTAAATCTTGACTGTTATGGAGGTGGAAGACATCCATGGGGGCATCCTATGCCTGAGTATCTTGAGAAGGTTTGTGTTACTTTTGTCCATGAGATTTTTCTAATTGTTTGATTGGTTTCTTGGTTTTCCATAATAAAAAATTCATGTAAGTGCTGCCTATCTTTACCTTTAATTATGTTTGGAATTGGCATTTTACTGGAACTAATAGATGAGCTTGGGGGAATTCCAAGTTTTCTTGTTTGTCATTGCACTATATATGCCAATAACAGTGCTGATTCAAGGTGCATTGCATTGTGCATTATCATGTACCTAAAATCAATATTTTCATAATTAAATATATTATACTACTTCATAATTAAAAAGATATTAATAGAAATTATAAATAAAGATTTAAGTACTTTGAATTTAATTAAACATATAGCTTTCTATAGATCTCAATGATAGCAAAAGATCCATATAGCTGATCCCAAATATTTGGGACTTTTAGTTTTATTGTTGTTGTGTGCTTCATGAATACATAAACATGCTATAGAACCATTAGGAATCAATTTTGTTAGTTTATTCAGCAGTGGAGAAATATTAGATGTTGAATTTTTGTATCAAAAGTATAAATTAAATGATTCTCAAAGAAGCACTGTAATTTTTCTTATCACTACACTGTAGTTGTAAATATGCTTGAATTTTCCTCTCACATGCTTAATCTAAGACATGCCACTATAGCCATTTGTTTCAACCATGGATTCAATAAATAGGAATATGTTTTATCAAAAGATTTCTTGTGATTTTTTCTAGTATGAAATGTGTCAATCATCAATTTTGGTATCTTTTCAACAAATATGGCAATATTGTTCCTCTTATCAAGAATTTCGGTCTTTGGGAAGTACCATTATAGGCTTCCATTTGTGATGTTGATACAGGCCTTCTTTGGGAGGTTCTTTGCTTTATTAACTTCAAAAATAGACCCTGGTAAATATGAGATGGGATGTGGTAGCTGTATAGAATGGCTTGCCAACCGTACTGGCAATCCTTCCTATCCACGCAACCAAACCCAATATCTGTCTGGTTTTTGTAACTTAATTTATTAAGAATGAGCAATTTACACATAAAGCATCCAGGATATTTGTAATAGAGCAAGTAGTCTACTTTTAACATTCATTAAGAATGAGAAATCATAAACATAAAGTCTGTAATAATCACAATATTAGAGAAACACAATGCCTAATTGAATACAATATACAAAACAGGAAATATGGCTAGTTACAATAAGGACATCACGGTTTACTCCCATTACCTTATTTGGAATAATCTTGTACTACATCTTTTGCCATGGCCTTTTGACCATTGAATTTTGTTGTCAAATTACCCTCCTTTATCAAATTATAATTGACATCTTCCTCATCCCTTCTCTTTCTTCTTTCCTATATGGTCCAATCAACTAAAGCTATCACTGTTCATGTCTCTCTCTTTTGTTTATCTCATTATTTCCCTTGATTCTTGTGCTAAGGTGGTCAGCTGTGGTTATGACTTTCTTATAATATCTAAAATGAATTTTAAATTAAACTTTTAAAAACTTTGGTCCTTCAATTTGTCGATCATCAAGCCAATGAGCAAAATACTGGACAATACTAGGTACCCACTAGTTGGACTCCTTTGTTTTTGCTCATATGGGAAGATTTCAGTATTTGACACAGGTGGCTGTTGGGAAAAAGAAAATGGAAAATGTAAAGGGAAAACAAGAATTTAGGGAAAAAAGTACTTGCTGTTTCATCTGAGGTCAGATTGCATTTGGAGTTGGATCTAAGTGGTTGGACTTCTTCCACAATGCCTCCTCTTTGAGGCTTGATTTTGGGGCTTTAATTAAAGTAATAAATTCTTGAATTAAATTATAATTAATGGAATTAAAGTAACAATCTCACGTCTCTTATAACAAATTCTTGCTATCTCTCCTACATTCTTGAGTACTATTGTTACTAATAATTATTTCTTTTGGATGAATAGGTTTATAGTGCTACTTAATTACCTGTTATTCATAATTTTATGTTTCTGCATGTTTTACTACTATTACTAAATGTAAAACTGTCATATATGATATGCATTTTAAATATATTTGGTGTTGTATCCATCTCATCTTATGTCCTGTTTTATTTTGAGATTTGATTTATTACGCTAACCATATCATATAGTGTTGTTGTCTCTTATTTGTCTCCATGCTTCAGACTTCAGAGACTATCTTGAAATGTTCCCCTTTCTCTGGATATAGATTAATTATACGTTTCCAACTCCCATTAAGGCTTCCAGATATGCTCTTCGAGATTTTTCAAAGCAGCACTACCTGTCTGTTATTACTGAATAATAATTTAGTCCTAAATGTTGATAGAAATAACAGTTTGTTCTAAGCATGAAACCATGAATCTTGCAATTTTCAACTGAATCATGCATTGGCAGTTGTACCCTTTTTTTATATAACACAAAACAATACATTTACTTATCTACTCACAATAATGTTCTGGCAAACCTTGACTATAGTATTATAAATGTCTATGAAGAAATTTGTTCTGTTGTAAGTATTGATGACAAATATTCATACATTAGATTCACTCCATTTGGTGCAAATCTATGTAACAAAAAGATGATAAATAGGGAAAGAAGAGGGGAGGGAGAGTTTTATTGGTGCATCTTAAATCTTGTCCTGATATATTATTCTCAAGGAAATTCACAGGGATTTTAACCTTTCTTTTATCAGAAAAGCTTTTTTGAAGCTCAAGTGGATGACGGGCTGCTTGAGATATTCGGGTTAAAGCATGGATGGCATGCATCCTTTGTTATGGTTGAACTTATTTCGGCGAAACACATTGCACAGGTACCTCTATTATCTTGAAATTTCTACTATCATAGATTCATTTTAGCATGGTTTTGATTTTAGCATTTTCATTTCTTACAAGTGTTATGAATTCTTAATACATTTTTCATCACTAACCACAAGTTCTATTTAACTAAACCAGGCGCCTCTCTTTAGAGGGTGGGCCTTAGCACAATGGTAAAGTTGTTCCTTTGTGGCCTAGGAGACTACAGTTTAAATTATGAAAATAGTCTCTTTAAATATTTAGATATAAGGCTGCATACATTGATTATTCCCGGATCTCATATTGGTGGGAGCCTTGTGTACTAAGTATGCCCTTTTATGGTGTCTCTTTTTAAAGAAATTAACATTGAAGCTATATTTAACTGAGAGGATAGGAGGACTCGGATGATTCATATCAATCTTATATGGTGATATACACAAAATAATGTTATTTCTTTCTAGTTGTCCTTGAACTATGATGTTAACATATGTGACGCGTAACAAAATAGTAATAGTAAGTTTAGTTTGAGTATGTTAGCTTAGAGTTAGCTGGGATGAGAAAATACTTGACAGTCAAAAGCTTGGATGCTTGTCAATTTCTTCCTAGATCTATTTTCTTGGGCCACTGGACAAGTATTCTATTTCCCCTAGCTTCATCCTTCAAATATTGAGTTCATAACATCGCCATTTTGTGGAATTATACGACAATACAAACATAATGAAATTTGTAGGTTGAAAGATCTCTTGGATTGTCTTGTCTTTTTTGCTTTGGAATTGACATTCAATTGGCCCCAAAACCCTCTCTCTTCTCTCTCTCTCTCTCTCTCTCTCTCTCTACTATATATATATATATATATATATATATATATATATATATCAATCTCTCTTCTCTCTTCTTTTAGTTTGATGTTAATGTTCATTACTCTATCCAGAGATTCTTTAGCTGTGATCTCCACATCCTTTGGTCATCGCTACTGCCATGTGGTGGCTCCATTTTGTGAATTTTAGGCTCACTCAAATGAGTGCATGCTGATTTCTGCTTGCAGGCAGCTGCTATTAAGTTGGAACTACGAGGTGGTGACTGGAACAAAGCCTACATGCAAATGGATGGAGAGCCCTGGAAACAACCCTTAAAAAGGGACTACTCAACCTTTATGAAGATCGAGAGGGTTCCCTTTCAATCACGCATGATAAGCGGAAAATGATACCACCCGTCTATGTATATTGTAATATTCTTGATTTACATTTTCCCTGAGGAACTCGTGAATCCCTTCTAGTGCTTAAAATTGAATTTTCAATTCAGATTATGATAATGATGTAAAAAATGCTGACTCTGGAATGTGTATAGGATTTGGGTTCCAATTGAACAATCGGATGCATTCATGGACCGAAGTGCCATAGCTTACCCATTCTGATCAGGTTCAGTAACACTTTGAGCCTCTTTATCCAGCTTCCCTCCTTTGACGTACAAGATTGTTTGTTGCATCATTGCCATCACTTCCTTTGCTTCATATGGATTGTTGTAGACGAAATAGGCCAAGGCAGTGATGGACACAAGTCCTGAGATGAGAAAGAGTCCCCAAAAATTCCCGAAGTGAAGCCTCATGGAGCTGAGATTGTCTTGCTGACTAGAACATGTTGGCCGATCTCCGAACCATTTCCTTTTTATCTCCACCATCTTGTCCCCTTGTGTCACCTTCAATATAGCCCTCGAAACATCAGCAACCAATGGAGACCCCTTCTGAAACACCTAAGAATAAGAAGCAAACAAAGTTTGTTTCATCAAATTATTATTATTCGCTGCAGAATAAGCGGCAAATAAGAGGCTTACGAAGCCAAATCCAGCCGTCTGATGCGTCGGCCCAACCATGGTGTAGTCAAGGCAATGTTTGGAGAGGAAGAACATGAGGTAGGGGATCTCATCGAAAATGGCTGCCACCCCTCCGTTATCGCTTCCTTTGGACAAGGCATCGGCATACTGATCAACCGTGCTGTAGTTCCTGAGTCTGTGCCGGTCAAAGTTCATCTTCTGCAGCAAGTCGGCCACAAAGGATCCGTTTCTGTAGCCGACGTAGACTCCCTTCGTCTGGAGCTCGGTCACATCGCTCACTGTGGGCTGGAGTTCTTGCACCGTGAGCATGGACGACAGCATCGCTGTGTAGCTCGACACCAGTATCAGGACCACGGACGCCCAAAACACCACCACGATCTGCGATGCTGTGCTCTTCAACTTCCTTTCTGGAATTACAAGTGAACGTCATGTGACATGATTTCTATGTCACTGTATCAGGTGGTTTGATCACGCAAACCTGGTGATGAGACCAGCGTGGAGCAAACGAAGCAGAAGATGATGCCCAGTTGTCGGTGCAGCGGGCCGCCGAACTCACCGGTGTTGTCCCTGTGCTCAAACAGCCACACCACGAAACCTGTAAGGAAGGTGAAGAAAATGCATGATATCCATAGATCTGCCGACAATGGCTTCAAGAATATTAATGCGTTCCCAGGCTTCTTCTTCAGCGGCACGACCATGGACACCCCTGACTCGGTGTAGGGCAGCGTGAAGTCCACGTACTGAGACCGGTTTGCCACGATAGTGATGTCCCCCACCAGCGCATCATAGTTCTGGACTTGCAACAACGAGTGTGGTACGTCTTTAGATTCTGGTCTTAGGTCTAAAGAATGATCAGAGGAAGAGGGAGGAAGGATCACCTTCAGGTATATTTGATACACGAGATCGTCGATGTAAGAGGCCGTCCTCGGCTGAAGCAGAATGTACTCGTAAGGGACGGCATATGGCAACGACTTCATGACAGCATCGAACACATCGATACAGTAACCCTTGACGCTGGTTGAGTTCTTCGTTGGATCCCATTCCACGCTCAGGAATCGCTTGAATCCTGTTGTTACAGGTACGATGACTTGAAGTTTCTTGCCATTGGTTGGGATCTGCCAGCCTTTGGGCACGGTCGTCGATCCCCCTGGCCATACTATGGGCATGAGCTCTGTCGCCTTGTTAGTGTTCGGGTGTCGCGTGATGCCGGACTCCGGCTTCCAGTAGCCGATCACGGTCTCCCTTCGGCCATGGTCTCCGTCAACGTTCACTATCTCGAAGGCGGAAACTGGGAGCTGCCCGTCCACGAGCAGGAATTCGCCGCACAAGCCACGGAACCGAGTGTCGTGGATCGCCTTCAGAAGTCTCGGTCCATCTATGGCAACATTGAGCTTGTCCAAGTCGGTTGCTACACTGCTACGGCTTGGGGAGCCACGGATGCGAGGCCTCATTGCCCCGGCGGCTCTCTCTACCGCCATGGCCACAGCCCAAGCAGTGTCGTACGCCCAGAAGTCGAAAACGTGAGGTGGCACTGACATGTTGACGCTCGGATTCCCTTGAGCGAACTTCTCAGTGAATCTCTTCGTGAAACGTCGGACACCTTCGTCGGATCTGTTAATGTACCGGCGGACGCCGACGGTGCCGTGCATCGAGTTGAGCACCTTCTCCTCCAGTAAGTCGAGCTCATTCGTGATCCCGTCGGTGGTTATCCACACATAGCCTTCAACCATCATGCCCACCTCTTTGGCCTTCCGCATGAGGCGAGAGCCAAGGTCAGCGAGCATGTGCACGATGAAGACTCTAGTCTGCATGGTCATGAGTCGGTAGAGCTCCTTCTCGATCTGCTCATCGGAGGCGGTGGAGACGATGATGCTGCGGTAGGGGACGGCGGCGTCGACCGCGTGGAGAGCGTCGACGAGGTAGGGGATGGCACCCGTGCCGTAGTCGGTGTCGTCGTAGACGGGGATGACGTTGCGCCAGCCGAAGGATTTTACGACGGCGGCGATGGCGCCGACCTCAGAGGAGTCGTTGAGGGTGGTGCGAACGAAGTAGGGGGTGCGGGCGGTGGAGAGGGAAGGGCTGGTGGCGGAGAAGGAAAGGATGGGAACTCGACTGTGGTTGCCAAGAACAAGCACGTAGTCAGCTTGGGTGGATTTGGGAGGACCAATGATGACTTGCACTCCGACGTCATCCAATAGCTCCTTGGCTGCAACACATTAAGAATAAGAATCTTTGACGGAGGAGTTGGTCTTGCAAGTATACTCAGACCTAATCGGAGGACGTCATCCAAAAACAATCGACTGTTTGAAACATGAAGAACAAACGAATACTTGTTTGATATACCAAACGAAGAAAAAATATGAACATCCTATATTAACACAGTAATTGATAATTTTATAATTTCATAAAATTTATATCATTAGACTCATTAATGCATTGAAATACATCCACTTTTCAACATTATGATCAATTTTTTTAAAAAAAATTATATTTTTATTATTTTAGTTTATTTTTAATTTAGAAAAACCGATGGTTCAAATCAGATTTCAGTTAAAATTAGAATAGATTCTATATAGTTTTATTTTGGTTCTCAAAAGTTAGAAACTGTTGTCATGCAATTCTATTTTGATTTTCAAATATTAGGAATCAAGATCATCTGTTCTAGAATCAAACTAAGGGCTCAACTAAAGAGGAGCAAATCTCTATCAATGGCTCTTTTATATATATATATATATATATATATATATATATATATATATATATCATCATCATCATCACCTGCTGCCGCTGCACCAATGATGCTTGTGTTGGAATCCCTGAGGCAAAGATCTACCCTGGTGGAGTAGTTTCCGTGAGCAGCGTAGAAATCATCCATGGCCATGTTGATGCTTGCCTGGTTCCTCTTCCCTTCTAAAGTCTGCAAGTCAAGGACGGCACCCACACGGACATGCACAGTCCCGTTCCCACCTCCGTCAACCTGAGGTTTGCACTCTGCGGAGGAAGAGAAGCAACGGAAGATGGCAGAAGCAAGACAAAGGAGGAGGATTAGCTTCTCCATTGTCAGGATTCACGAAGAGTTGATGATGCCTACCTAGGCATGGCTCCTCAATTTATAGAGCCCATTGGATTGCCCAAAATGCAGGGAAAGTGTCGTGCAGGATTACAGGAATTACGTACTTGAGAAGACTACATATGGTTTAGCTTAAATTAATGGATCATGGTGTTGAAAGGGATCCGATTCTACTCTAGAACTTGAAGAATTCCTAATACCATTTGACCGGAGGATGACATGGTTTCAGGAAACAGCTGCGAAGCAGTACAGTAGAATAATATGAGTGGGATGGAACTTTACATTCCACAAAATGCTGTATAGTTGTAAGAACATGCAGTTCTTCAAACGCTTGTTTGGATATGGATGAGTGAGTGAATGAATGATTATTAGTTGGAATTGGGTATTAGTTTAAAAAGATCATTTCCGTCTAATTTATTAGTGCTTCCATCACAGTCTCAATAGTTTCGACTGTTTGTACTAATAAGCAAAGATCACAAAATCTGAACTTCCTTGCAAACTTAAATTACAATATTTTACAAGAAAAATAGAGTATTTTAAGACAAAAAAAATAATTATGATTAGCACCTTTTAGACATTATATATTGTATAAAACAAAGAATCAATGTAATAATCGGTAAGAAAACATATGTAAAACAATTGTCTTTGTAGAATAATTTGGCAGAGTTGCCAGTGGTAACGTAAAAAATCATGGAAGATGGTGATATCACCGAGAATATTATGTATGGCACCACTTGTAGAAGTTCGTTGATGATAAAAACCTTATTTCCGTTGGAGTTCCTGAGGTGTTCCAACTCAGTGAAGACTCACTCTTAATTAGTGGTCACCCTCGACATCAGTGCATGCTTAGTCGATCATCTTCTTAAAAGTGATAGAACCTTCATGAAGTTAATTTAATTTGTATTTCTATTAAGCAAACACTTTATACAAAACTAATTATGATAAAAGCAAATTAAGGACATAATTAGTATTGATCACGGTTGAATCAAACTAAATGCCTCTATCAAGAGGTGAACCTAAGTTAATTGACTTTAAACATAAGAACTTAATTAATATATCATCGATCTTATTTATGTTTTATTCACAAAATAAATAAAGGGACATGTTAAGAAAATATACATAAATATTAAAGATAGATATAAAAAGTTTAAGAAATCATTTAGATCTAATAAAGGGACATGTCGAATTGCATGTATGTTAATTCTTATGTATAGGATGGAATATTTAGACTTGAGGGGAAATTGGAAGCTTGCAAGATGTTTTGTGTTTTATCTAATAAATCAAAACATCATTACAGCTATTATAATTTTAATTTTTTAATAATGATAAACTGGCACTCTATGAAAATCAACTCCAGATAATTTAGAAAAAGATTTTGAACTCAGATCATGTGTTAAGAGAATTGATATACAATTTAATAGACTTGGCTTTTTAGATTGAATTGATATGAGATTATCTTACCCTTAACCTATTTAAGTCA